AGCCGCAAGATTGAAGTGGTATCTTTTTTTATTTTTTAAAAACATGCCTTTTCTCTCTCTCTTTTTTTTTTTAAAGATTTATTTATTTATACAGGAACCCAGGTATAGGCCAGAGGTGTGGGAGGGTGAGAGAATTCACTGAGACAGAGCAGGGAGCAGAACAGGCAGATGGACCAAAAACACTGCTGAGGGGAGCAGCAGGTGAGACAGGAGAGGTCTGCCGTTCCATGTGGGTACCTCCCTAGCTGGCAGGGACTCAAACCCGTGGTGCTGAGGCTGTAGACAGCTTCATAGTGCTGCACTCAACCACTGAGCCACCCGGGAGGCCCAGAAGTGGAATCTTTAAAACCAAATGTAGGGTAAAGAAAATGTCAGGCTTTTCTGCCCTCCCGCCAGCAGGATAGATGGTGGATCCTTGCGGTCCTGAATGTATTCCTGATGGCGGGCACCTGGAGCAGGGTGTGGGCATAGGTAGATGGGATTCACCTGGGCTAAGACTGTGCTTTTAAGGGAGGTGTCACGGGGACGCCAGCAGAAGCAAGAGAAGTAGCAGAAGCCGAGAACGAAAGGGAAGCTGAGAGAGAAGCAAGAGAAGCAGAAGCTGAGAGAAGGCCGGGGAGCCCAGAGTGAAGACCTGCTGGGGGCTGGGAGGCCTGCCAGCCTCCTGGTCCCCCAGTACCCCTGTCTGCTGTGTACCAGGTAAATCCCAATAAAAGATCTGCAAAACCACTGAGGACTCTGACTTCTCCTTTACCCGGTCTGCATGGGATCAGAAAACCTGCACTGTGCCCGGTCCTACCTCTGCACCAAGTAACAGTCTGCTGTGGGAATACTTGAAATAATAAATCCAAGGGGTTCATTATGGCTATACATTTCATTGGCAAACATATGTGTTAGGGGACCATTAGCTTGGTGTAGGGCAAGGAAAAATGTCAGGCTTTTCTGCCCTCCCGCCATCAGGACAGATGATGGATCCTTGCGGTCCCGAGCGCATGCCTGATGGCGGGCACCTGGAGTAGGGTGTGGGCATAGGTAAATGGGATTCACCTGGGCTGAGACGGTGCTTTTAAGGGCAGTGTCACGGGGACGCCAGGAGAAGCTAAAAGAGAAGCCGAGAGAAGGCCGGGGAGCCCAGAGTGAAGACCTGCTGGGGGCTGGGAGGCCTGCCAGCCTCCCGGCCCCCCAGCACCCCTGCCTGCCGTGTACCTGGTAATCCCAATAAAAAGCCTGCAAAAACCACTGAGGATTCTGACTACTCCTTTACCTGATCTGCTGGATATTAGAAAACCTGCACAGTGTCCAGTCCTGCCCTTACAATTGGCGTAAGTTGGCAAGATGATCCATGAGACGTGTATGGAGCCCTCCAAAGACCTGGAGGGACTAAAGAGTAACAGACTGTGTTTGCCTGTGATGACGCTGGAGGCGCCATGGCGGCACAGAAGGTGGACACCGTCCAGGAGCTGCGGCACGAGACCTCAGCTGGAGGAGGCGCCCGAGAGGACCAGTCAACGACACCTGAGGCAGCAGAATCGTCGGGAAGAGAGGGTCATGATTCGGAGCTTGCCAGTGCTGATGCAGGGAGAGGCCAACAGACTTGGCCTAATGGACTTGGACTGATGAACTTGGACTGACAATCCTGCCAGAAGGTGGAGGACCTTGGCAGGTTATGTTTTTTTGAGAACTTGGGGGTGGCCAGTGGGCCTTGATGGCCAAAAGCAGCCTGTGCATGCCTAGCAGCCAGGCAGAGGATAAAAGCCAACTGAGAAGGCAAAAGCTGGTGCTGATGCTAAGTTTGAGAAGCCCTAAGCGGCTGTTAAGCAGCCTGGGTATGCTGAAGACCAGTGAGTCCCTTAAAATCACCTGTGGGTGATGCCCTGCTTGTTGTCGAGTGAGGGTGAGGAGCTGAGGAACCTTTCCTTGGGGGACGGGTGGGGAACGTGGCTTGGGGTGGAGCCCAAGCCACATGTAGAGTTTGGATCCCCGACCCATGTGCTTGTGCAGTGGGTTGGCCTGAGTGCAGGGGTCTGCGAGTCGCACTGGTGGCTATGAAAGCCGAATGTTGGAGCGACTGCAGACAGACACCCTGAGCGTTGGTAATTACCCCCAACAGTATAGAATTGCCAATCCCAGAGTGAGTGCATCCTGGGGGTGGGTGGATGCTGTGTGTGGCTTGTAGCCGAGACTACAGCCAGAGGCCAGGAAGCCTGACGGCTCCTGGTGTGTTATAGTAGATGCCGTGAGTGGTTCCCCTCCCTTGTATGAGCAGTGCCTTTGGCAGAAGATTTGGTGGCTTATCTGCTGGTAGCAATAATTGTCTTTTGCCACTAGGTTGGGGCCCTGCCTGGACTTATTTGTGTTCTGTTGTATTTTGTTATATTGTGATGTATTTGCTTTTGTGGGCCATGGCTGCATTGTTGATGTTTCCTAAGAAAATTGTATATATGAAGACTATATGGCAGAAAACCCTGAGGGGGTGGACTGTAGGGCAAGGAAAATGTCAGGCTTTTCTGCCCTCCCGCCATCAGGACAGATGATGGATCCTTGCGGTCCTGAATGCATGCCTGATGGCGGGCACCTGGAGTAGGGTGTGGGCACAGGTAGATGGGATTCCCCTGGGCTGAGACGGTACTTTTAAGGGCAGGGTCAGGATGCCAAGAGAAGCTAAAAGAGAAGCCAAGAGAAGGCCGGGGAGCCCAGAGTGAAGACCTGCTGGGGGCTGGGATGCATGCCAGCCTCCCGGCCCCCCAGCACCCCTGCCTGCCATGTACCTGGTAATCCCAATAAAAAGCCTGCAAAAACCACTGAGGACTCTGACTCCTCCTTTACCTGATCTGCTGGATATTAGAAAACCTGCACAGTGTCCAGTCCTGCCCTTACACTTGGGAAAACTGTGTCAAAGAAAGACAATTTCCATTTGTGATAATTGGGAAAGAGTTTAAAATACAGATTCTCCCCTCCCTTCATTCTTTCTTAGTCTTACTCCCTTCCTACTTTCTCCTTTTCCATTTATTTCAAGTTCTCACTTTTTTACATGAAAATCTATAAGTCAAACAAAACATGAGAGAAGGTTAATTTGCTCAGTATTTCCATTAATCCCAACCTTCAGAAGTCCCTAAAGTTAACGGCCTCCTTTGTTCTCGCAGTTCTTCCACCAATTCGTGCACATGTACAGAAAGATATATTTCTTCAGATCTTGTAAAAATTATTTGCTTGTCTGTTGGAAGATAATGTAAATGGTAGAAAAGTTCCCATCTCTTCTGTATTACACCCTGTAGGGGCAGGAACAGGACACAGCGCAGGTTTTCTGATCCCATGCAGGCCGGGTGAAGGAGGAGTCAGAGTCCTTAGTGGGTTCTTTGCAGGTCTTTTATTGGGGTTCACCAGGCATATGGCAGGCAGGGGTGCTGGTTGGGGGGCTGGGAGGCTGGCAGGCCTCCCAGCCCCCAGCAAGTCTGTACTCTATCTGGGTTCTCTGGCGTTCTCTGCTTCTGCTTCGGGCTTCTGCTGCTGCTGGCGTCCCCGTGACGCCACCCTTAAAAGCACAGTCTTAGCTCAGCTGAATCCCATCTACCTATGCCCACACCCTATTCCAGGTGCCCGCCATCAGGCATGCATTCAGGACAAGGATCCATCATCTATCCTGATGGCGGAAGGGCAGAAAAGCCTGATATTTTCTTTACCCTACACACCCTCCCTACTGCCACACAAAAAATGTGTTTAACCCACCCACCATTAACTCTTTTTCCATTTTCTCCTGCCTTGAGATGGAGACAATCTTAGAATGGTCCTATTGACCACCTCTGCCTCCTGTTATTCTTCCCATTGGTCTTTGCAGTGGGGCCACCAGGCAGGACAAACAGGAGCAGGCTGGGAGGCAGGCAGTTAGTAGAGCCCCCCAGGCATCTTTACACTCCCTCTTTGGGCTCTCGTGGTCTTCCTTTTCTGTGGTCACTTCACTCATCCTCCTCAAAGCTATTCTGTAGTTTTCTCCATCTCTGAGTGATGCTGTCTTTACGTCTCAGCCCCTAGGCTCAGGTGTGCCCGCTCACGCATGCCCATACCCATACTCCAGGTGTCCACAATTAGGCATGTGTACCCTGCACCCTGCTCACACATGCCTTCTCAAGATCAAGGCCACAGGTGATAGCCACAGATCCTGTGGTGTAAAAACTTGATTCACTCATTTACCCTGCCGTCCTCTTTGTTCCTACACACAATAGTTTAAGGGATTCCTCTTGGTTCCTGCAGAAGCTTAAAGTCATCCCTTCAAGAAAGGGGCTTCACCCCTTGTGTTTCTTCTGGGTTCTGCATTGAGATTGAGTTTCCTCCCTCACCCACATGGAGGAACTTGACCTCCTGCTGGCTCCAGTGGCTGGAGAACCTGGGATACAGGGCCTGGGTCACAGTGTCCTGATCATGTGTGGGGATTGTTTTTCTGTGTGTTTCCCTGACAACTGGTTGTAAGTCTAAGTTAATAGTAAGTACTGCAGGGGATTTTCAAAATTTTAATGCAGGTCAATGATTTCAAATTTGATTTTTTTATATTCCAAAAGGCAGGTTTATTATAAAAGGGAAGGAAAGGTAAAGAATACTTGCACAGACACAAGTGGGCAGAAAGAGCTGCCCCTGAGGGACAGTGTAGGGTAAGGGATGATCAGGCTTTTGAGCTATTGGCCTCTGTGGCTATCACCTGTGACCTTGAATGCAGGAGGTACTTGGGAGCATGGGCTTGGGGTATGTATGCTTGATGGTGCACACCTGGAATATGGTGTGGGCATGTGTAAGTGGGCCCACCTGAACCGAGAGACTGAGGGTATAAGGGCAGCAGCATACACTGTCCTTGGCCAGTTTTAGTGGCCCCATTTGCCACGTATAGAAACACTATATATGCAAAGAGTTAAGAAATTCTCTAAATAGAATTAAATTTAGATCAGTAAATCATTAGTTTTTTATTATATGTACGTCACATGCAAGTAGGAACTAAAAGGTAATGACAATGATGCAGGTAGTCCCTGAGCCCATAGTTATTTATTTTTACTTGTCCCCCTTACATGTGCTGTTACTCTCTTCAGAGCAGACTTCATATCCTGGTTCCTCAGTGTATAGATGATGGGGTTCAGTAATGGAGTGACAGCAATGTAAAACAGGGTCACTGCTCCATCAAGGGGACTTTTGGACCCAGTCCGAATGTAGGTGAAAATGCAGGGCACATAGTAGAATGTGACCACAGTTAGGTGGGAGCTACAGGTGGAGAAGGCTCGGCGCCGCCCCTCAGCAGTGCGAATCTTCAGGATGGCATAGACTATGTTGCCATAGGACAGCAGAGTTAACGAGAAGCAGCTGATAGGCCCTAACACAACGGCCACAGAGATCACAATTTCATTAATAGTTGTGTCAGCACAGGCTAGTACCAACACTGCAGGGATGTCACAAAAAAAATAATCTATTTCATTGGGCCCACAGTAGGGCAGGCGGAAGGTTAGGGTGGCCTCGATAGCCCCATGGATGGAGCCAGCCACCCACGTTCCAGCCGCAAGGGTGGCACATAACCTCCTACTCATGAGCACAGGGTAGCGCAGGGGCTGGCATATTGCCAGGTACCTGTCGTAGGCCATCACGGTGTAGAGGAAACATTGGGTGCTGCCAAAGAAGTGTGCGAAATACAGTTGAGCCACACAGCCAGCGAATGGAATTGCCTTGCTGGCAGGAGTAAAATGCAATATAAATCGAGGGACAATGACAGAGGTGAATGTCATGTCCAGCAATGAGAGCACGCCCAGAAGAATGTACATGGGGCGGGCATGGAGCTTTGGGTCAATCCACACGGTGACCAGAATGAGCAGGTTCCCCAGCTGAGTCAGGATGTAGATGATCAAGAAGACCAGGAAGAGCAGGATCCTCAGGTTTGGGGGGTGAGATAAGCCCAGGAGAATGAACTCTGTCACTGTTGTGTGCTGAGATGTGTTTCTGGTCTTCCCCATGTCTGTCCTCTGCTAAGAAGAATGATGAATTCAGACAAGGGAAATACAACACAGGAGATGGTAAGAGAAGTCTTTTGTGTCATGATTATTGCCTAAGACTATTTAGATAGACAGAATACTGTTATTTGTTTTGGTTTACTTTCTATTCAATAGGAGAAAATGCCTAGAACTGGTCAGTTTTTTTTTTTTTTTTTAAAGATTTATTTATTTATTTATACAAGCACTGGGTACAGTCAGAGGCACGGGAGGGTGAGAGAACTCACCAGAGCCAGAGCGGAGAGTAGAACAGGCAGAGTGACGAAGTACACTGCTGAGGGGAGCAGCGGGTGGCAGGAGAGGTCTGCGCGCCATGTGTGACCCTCACCTGGTGGCCGGGGATCCAACCGGAGCTGCAGAGGCTGCGGGCAGCTTTGCAACCCAGCACTCAACCGCTGTGCCACCGGGGAGGCCCGAGAGTGGTTAGTTCTTGATTGATGGAAATTCTCATTATCTTTTGGGAGATATGAGAAGCACAATTTGGCAAATCGAGGAACAGAGGAACATGTGACTGATGGGGGTGACCTGTAATGCCATCCAAAGGGCATTCACTGAAGAGAGGCTAAGGTGAAGGCAGAGCAGTGGGGAGTGTGTACCCCACACACTTCCCCTGCCTTCCCGTCATCACCATGCCTCCTCTTTGCTCTGTACTGAAACCCCCACTTCTCATCGTAGACACACAACACTCATCACCTGCCCCTCTTTTGCTGCTCCGTCCCACACCTTGTAATTCCTTCTTAATGTTCAGATGCTCAGGCTCCTGGACCCCTCACAGCAGTGTGCCCCAGTTTGAGACCCATGCACATGCTGCCTTCTCTGCTCCTTTCACTGGGCAAGGCCCCTTTTCCTTCGGAAGTGAATTTGTAGGTGCTCAGCTTCAAGGAGGCTTTTCTGATCCTCGAGGATATGCTTGCTCTTTGCAAAACTTGCATCACAGCATTGCCAGTTGTGATTTCTTACTGGTCTCCCCCACTAGTCAGCTCATCTGGCATGGTAGAAATGATGAATAATTACTATTGGAGTGACTGAAGGGCTGATCAAGTGATGTTCCCCATTGCACTGACCAGGCACAATGTTTATTTCTCTGCCTGATCTTGTCTGTCTGAGCCTTGTGCCCACCTGGCTGACCAGGGCCCATCTCATTCTTATGCAGAACGGGTTTAAAATGATTTCATGCTTTTCATTGTTCCTGGATATCATTTAGATATATTGGTTGATTTAGCGGTCCAATTGGTTTCAGATTGCAATGTATGTAGGGGTTACATAGGAATTTCTATTGTTCATTAAAAAACATTGATTAAAGTTTAATCATTATTGCTGTCTACCATGCAGAAACTCTCTCTAAAGACCTTAAAAGAATTTGAAGTTCCTGCTCATGATAAGACTGAGAGAAGAAATGTGTTTCTCTCCTTTTTCTTGAATGGGCTGTTGATGAAGATTTTTCTCTGCACACTAGGGTGTTCAGTGCAGTCATCTGTCATTAACCATACATAAAGTATCCTCATACTTTAAATTATTTTCAGAAAGCAATTAAAATGGCAACAGATTAATTGTAATTAGCAATGAGCAATGAGTATTAATGAATATAAACATTTAATTTCCCAGAAAATTTCTAAGAATATTTCCCAAAGGGAAATTTTTGGTTATTTCTTAATTCAGATATTGAGAAGTATATAGTAAGAACTTAACTCATACATTTACATTTATGATATATCAATAGTAATAAGGAAACTTATTGGGACTTCAAGGTGGGAGTGTTAAGCATGCTTTTGTACACAAAGAATGAAGATATATTGCACTTTACTGCATAAGTTTCATGAGGACATCTTGACTTACTTGAAAATGTGTGAGAAGACACTGGGTCTAGAATACAAGTGAAGAGAGAAACTGAGTCTAGGATATAAGAGAAGAGAGAAACTGTTGGGATAATGGTTGTATGTAAAATTTTCATTATGAGTCAAAGGAATTTTTCCAGTATAAACATAATAGTTGTGCTTCCACTTTGGCCAATGATATATTCCTGAAATGTCTTATGAAAATTGATTGTTTATCAAATCAGATAGAACTGTACCAGAGTGGGATTATTTTCAAGAATTTCCATAATATGTAAATTTGTAAAGTGAAAAAAATTCTCCCTTATTTTTTTTTTTAAATCCTCTAATGCTTTTAATAGTTTCACTTTCCTCATGTTCATTCTAGTTTAAGAGTTTAATCAACATCTTTCAAATACTTATGATTTTACTCCGTGGAGCCTTAATTTGAGGCATGTAGAGTCCCTTCTTCCCCTCCCTCCCTCCTTTTCAGTTATTTAATAAATATTTTTCGAGAGCATATTATGGGCCAGGCCCTGGGTGCATGTGTTGGGAACAGTGAATAGAAACACAGTAATGGTCCCTGCTCTGATGACCTTACAGCCTAGTGGGAGAGATGGATTTTCACCATAAATCACACATAAATGTCTCCACATAACCTCCACGAGTGCTCTGCTTTTCCATGAGGAACTGACCCAACGATGGAGGTAAGCAGCCTTCCTTGAAGAGCCAAATTGAAAGATTCTAGGCAATGAGAAAAGGAGTGAGCCCTCCAAGCAGAGAGAAGTCAATATGCGTAGTCTTGCGGGGAGGGGATGCAGGCATTTGTAGGGAATGCAAGGAGAAAATTCTCCCTTATTAATCTGTTTTGCAAGTCTGCTTTCCTCCATTTGCTGTGTATAAATCTGGCCCCACTACTCCCTGCTGCCCAGTGGGAAGAACTCCTTTCATTTCTTTAGTTCCGGCTGCTCCGCTTGCTCAGACCAAGACACTGAGCTGGGTTATAGCTGGTGGTTTTGAGGACAGGTTGTTTCCAAGCTGATAACACAGGAGTGTGGTTTAACTTGGGGTGTGGTGTTTAGGTTTTGCAAGAGGAGAACAAATGTGTGGGGCAGGGAAGAGGGAAAGGTAGATTTCCAGAAGGTGAATTTTGTGAGAAGCGAGGGGTAAGATTGCATAAGGACAAGAACCCTTGATGAGAGAGAGCAGTCTGTGCCATCCTAGCAAAAACAAGGAAAATAAAAAACAAGTGGTTACACTCCTGCCACCACCTTCCCTTCCTTGCCTAGAAACTTTATGTGTCATTTAGCTTTAGGTTGCCTTCTTTTTTCAGCTGTTGAAAGTTAGGGTATTCATAAAAAGGGGAGGAGAAGACTTAAAGAATTTGAAAACCTCAAAAACAATTTTAATATCCTGGCTAGATGATGAAAACATTAGTAAATTTCCCATGTTTTAGATGTGTTTGATATTGCTATACCCATCTTGTAAAGTGGGACTTCAAATCATAAAAGCTCATAAGACTAACAAATGGTTAATACTCCATATAAAAAGCATTTGAAGGCCTCCCTGGTGGCACAGGGGTTAAAGTCTCAGCGCTATCAATCTATTGCCAGCCACTGTGGCACGAGTTCCTGAGTTTGATATCCAACCAGGGAGCTGACCCATATGGTGCAGCAGACCTCTCCTGTCCCACCCACTGCTCCCCTCAGCAGTGTATTTCAGTTAGTCTGCCTTTTCTGTTCCCCACTCTGTCTCTGGTGAATCCTTTCACTCTCCCATACCTCTGGCCTTCACCCCAGATCTTGTATGCATAAATAAATAAAAATAAATCCTTGAAAAAAATGAAAAGCATTTGCAAATAAGGACCTGGTGACACTAGAGAATAAACAATACATGTTTGGAAGCAGTTATCCTAGAAGTCTAGGGACAAGCTCTGAGGATGGAGTGAGAGTGACATTGAGAAGATGAAGGGACAGCGTAGAGAGGAGGTGCTCAATAGCCTCTTGTAGAGAACTTTCATGATCTGTGGGATCATGGGATGGACAGCTTCCTGGGCCCTTCACTCCCTGTACTATCCTAAACAGGCCACTTTGGCCTGAGCACATCCCTTTTAGGGCCTTTCCACATGGAAAGGCCCAGAGGAGGGCAGGCCTTATCCAGCTACTAGAAATTATGTTTTGATTTCCACAAAAAACTTGGGGATCTAGGTCACTAGGGGGCATTACAAAATCCTGAAGACGAATTTAAACTGGTCTGGTATTGTATTGGATATTGTAGGTCCAAACGAATTCCACTCACCATCAGTGCAAGACCCAGCTCAATCAGTTTCAGGACTAAAGAATCACCTTCCTTTACATCACTCACCATTAGGGATCCCGGTAGATTTAGGACAGTGTAGGGGAAATGGATAGAGTTTGAACCAGACTTTTATCTATTCCCTTAAGAATAGATCTACCAAAGGTTTAAAACAAATGAGCTTTCTTAAGGAAATTACTTAGTGTTCTCTTCATTGCAGAAAGGACAAGGTTAAGTCTAGTCTTTTTGTGTTTGCACAATTACCAGAGTCTCCTCCATGATCTATGACTTCATCACCACACAACTCTTTATCACCATCCTAGAAAAGAGAGAGAAATGAAAAAAAAAAATAGTATTAGGATTCTTTGAGTCTTTTTCTCAATACAAGAAGAAATTCCCTAAAGTTGGAAGAAGACGCTTAGTTCTAGCACTTTGAAAAGAGTTGCAGATAAAAAGGCTGAACAGTAGGATGACATAAGATAGATCTTAAAGTTCCAAAATTAGTTTGTGCCTTATTCTGAGTAGAGCTGGTTCAGGATCATTATTCTGTCCTCTTGACTCACATGTCCAGAGCTCCAAAATCACAGAGAAGCCTGGCTGTCCTCGAGGGGAAGGGCCCCAAGAAAAGGCAGCTGTCCTGCAGAGATTCGGCCTAACCCACTATAAAGCCTTCCGTATGTGTTTTGGGAAGGTTCTGGAGTTCTTTCAGGACTTCTTGCCTGGCAAATAAGTATTCAGAATTTCTGAGAGCACCTGCCTGCCAGAGGTGTGTGACAGGTGTGACTGAGCTCTCTTTCCAGTCGTATTTTACGTTGGTTTTTATTAGCTATTGTCTCTGTAGCTCTAACTAAAGAAAAACACTCAAGAGAATTGAAGGAAAATTCTAACCTCAGGGACATAATTGAACAGTAGTGTTTCCCTAATGAGGTTGTCCCTTTCTAAATCCTCATTATTTTGTTTTGAGAGAGAGCAGGAAATGTTTCTAGATCTCTGGAAAGGGGGCTCTGGGGAATGACCTCACCAGTCTAGTTTGGGCTGACCTCCCGTTTCTGAGGGTGTTCTGAGTTCTCGACCACCCCCTCGCCAAATACCCACTAAGGCTCCTCTGTTATCTCTTTGATTCCTGTTCAGAGGTCATCTGATCAGTGAGGACTCTTATGACTCTCCCCTTTCTGCTCTGACCTTATATTTCTAGATAGCACTAACACTGACATGAACGTATTGGCTTATCTTGTTCTGCTTGTCTCCATTCTCATGTCGTCTCCACAAGACATGGGGATTTGCTCACCTGGGAATCTCCAACATAAGCACACTTCCTGGCATGTGGTAGACTTTCAATGAATATTTTGAAGGAATGCATCAGAGAAACTGTCACACCTTTTAGCTGCTGTGGGCAGAAAAACCAAAAAGTGGTGCTTTCAAGTAACAACTTGAGAGTTACCAGGAATTAATGTGGTAAGAAATTGTCAGTGTATGTGCAGGTCTAGGCTGCTTCTGCTGGGGCAAGTAGCCGTGGGTATTCACTCATTTATAAAGGTTACTGTTAATATGAGTAATAATGGGGACCTGGCTGGAAATGCATGAATTTTGGAGTGGGATATAAGGTTCAGGAGAGTCCATTGAAAGGATGTGTTAGGACAAAGCTGGATGATATCCAGGATTCCTTTTAATTTTGTATTACTAAATAAGAAAATGTGTGTGTGTGTGTAAAGTACAATTGTTATATCATGCTACAAGATGGTAGTAGTACCTTATTAATATCAAGTACCAGTCTGCAGTAGGAATAATTTGTAATAATAAATCCAAGGTGTTCATGATGGCCACACATTTCGTTGGCAAAGGTACTGTGTGTGAGGGGAACTTAGCTTAGGAAATCTAAAATAAGACAAATTACATAAGACAATTCCAAAATAAGACAATTTCCATTTGTGATAATAGGAAAAGTGTTTGAAATACAGATCCCTTCCTTCTTTGATTCTTTCTTAGTTTTACTATTTTCTTCTTTTCCATTTATTTCTTCAAATTTTTGCTTCCTTACCTAAGAAAATCTACTTGTCAAACAAAACACGGATGTATGAAAAGGTTAACTTGCTCAGTCTCTCCATTAATCCTAACCTTCAGAAGTCACTAAAGTTATTGGCTCCTTTGTTTTAGTAGTTCTTCTGCTAATTCATGCACATGGACAGAGAGATCGATTTCTTTCCTTTTTTTTTGAAAAGATTTATTTATCTATGCATATAAGAACTGAGGTGTAGGCCAGAGGTGCAGGGGGTGAGAGGAGTCACCAGAGAAAAGAGTGGGGAGTAGAACAGGTACTGAAATACACTGCTGAGGGGAGCAGCAGTTGAGCCAGGAGAGGTCTGCTGTGCCATGTGTGTTGCTCCCTGGCCGGCTGGGGATCGAGCTTGCGCTACAGTGGCTGCTGATAGCTTCATAGGTTGCGTCTTAACACCTCGTGCCACCAGGGAGGCCCTAGAAGATAGTTTAAATAGAAAATCTCCCACCTCCTCTGTCCATCCCCTCTCCCCTCCCCCCCATTATGTGTTTAACCCACCCACCATTTTCTCCTACCTTGAAAAAGAGACAATCTTAATATTGTCCTATTGACATCCTCTGCCTTTGCTCCTGTTATTTTTCCCATTGGTTCTCTTTGTTCTTTACACACAATGCTCTTGTCAATGTCCATGGACTTTCTGGGACTAAGTCTTTTAGGTTCATCAGTAGAATATGTTCATGTTAAGACTCTAGTTTTAGGGATTCATTGTGGCTCCTGCAGAAGCTTGAAGTCATCCCTTTAAGGAAGAGGCTCCTTCCCTTGTGTTTCTTCTGGGTTCTACACTGAGATTGAGTTTCCTCTCACACCCACATGGAGGAACTTGACCTCCTGCTGGCTCTATTGGCTGGAGAACCTGGGACGCAGGGCCTGGGTCACGGTGTCCTGAGCATGTGTGGAGATTGTTGCTTCTGTGTGTTTCTTGACATCCGGAGGTACGTCTCAGGTAATGGTATACACTGCAGATGACTTTCAAAATAATTTTCTGCCGGTAAATAATTTCAAATTCTGATGTTTGTGATGAAAGAGTTTTTCATGGCAGGAATTTAGAAAAACTAAATAAGGGACCAGGAAAAAGACTAATTACAATAAAGAAAAAATCAAAATCAACAAGCAACTATAAACTAGAGACACATTATGGCGGGTGGGAAGGGTAGGAAGCAGTAGGATCAAAACAAAGATGAGGGGCCTCTCTGGTGGTGCAAGGGGTTAAGCACAGCACTATGAAGCAATCCGTAGCCTCTGCAGCATGAGTTTGATCCCCGAACAGCCAGGGAGCAACCCACATGGCACAGTAGACCTGTCCTGACTCGCCCGCTGCTCCCCTCAGCAGTGTACTTCAGTCAATCTGCCTGTTCTGTTCCCCACTCTGTCTCTGGTGAATCCCTTCATCCCCTTCATCTCTGGCCTGTACCCCAGCTCTTGTATACATAACTAAATAAAAGTCTTTAAAAAAAAAAAACCAAGATGAAAATGCATACATTGTGCAAAAATGAAAAATGATGTACAAATATATAAAACTAAAAAAAAAAAGTCTTTCAGGACACAAATTTTCCTTATGTGGTTCCAGTTTTCCAGTTAGTACTGCTGCTGTTACGGGAACCAGGCGCCTCTGCGGTGGGAGCAGCAGGAGCAGTGGTGTTCTTTCATCCTGCTGCTCCACCACTAGTCTGTTGTGGCAGTTGCTCCTCAGAGCTCAATAACTGCCATTTTGTAATGGACCAATCAGGTGTGAACTGTGAGCTGATTGGTGCTAAATGGTCCAATCAGACTTGTCGGTGAAAGCGCACATAAGCCAGGGTCAGAGGGAGCTGAAGGGCCCCCCAAGAGAAGAAGAGAGCTCCTTCTAAGAGAAAAAGAGAGCCCCCTCTAAGAGAAGAAGAGGCGCTCCAGAAGAGAAGTGGAGGCCCCAAATAAAGGGAGATGATGCCAGCCCCCAAGAAAAAAGAAGGCTCCGTTCTAGCCTCTGGAGAAAAAGGAATAGAAGCATGCAGCAGCTGACCTCCGAGGAGGGAAGAGAAGCCGAAGGACTCTGTCACAGACTGGGCCTCGGGCCTGTCTCTGACACTGAGAGGAGCACCAAAGGCCCTGGGCCTGGTGTCTCGAAGAGCTGTTTGTGGTTGGTATAACCCATCCACTTACAAAGAGCTGTTAACACGGGGTGCCTCTGACACCACCTCTGAGGGACCATTAGTGGCCATCACTACTGGCCAGTGTGTCCCGCTCCCCTGGTGACTAGTGGCGACCATCACTGATGCTATCTGGGTCAGGCAGCCGCCACTTGTGGATACAGTGAGCTCTTTGTTTCCACTGTTTGTAAAATAAACCCTATGGTTGTTGTTCCTGGAGTCTAAGGTCTCTTGCAATTGTGAGCACAGGTGAGAACCCACAGTGGTGTGTCCTCGTATCTGGCACTGTCCTTTGGGAGGCTCTAGCCCAGAGGCCCCTACTGCATGGCTGTTGTACTGCAATAGCCCTTGGCTTTGGTTCTTGGCCTTTTGGCCTTTTGGTGCTTTTTCATGGCTCTCTTGTCTCAGAGTCTGGGCAGGTGGGTGGCTGTTACATCCTTCCATCTGGCCTTCTGCCTTGTAGCCTCTTTTGTGGCCCTCTCTGCCCGTTTCACTGCTGCTTTGCTATTTCTGCCACCAATGATTTATTCCAGGATCTCCTCATCAATGGTAGTTCTTTCTCATGACCACATAGAAATAAATGATCCTTTTTAGTAATGCTGTGACTTCCAGGAGTCTGTGCTGGTAACGTCGTGTGTCTTCTCATAGGTACTGCGGGACACGGAGCTCAGCAGCCCAGTGAGTTGACAGCTGTGGAGGGAGACTTTGTCCAGGTGAACTTCTTGTTCCAGACATCCGGGTTCAATGGGCTCTCCTGGTACCAGCAACAGGATGGTGGAGCTCCTGTATTTCTGTCCTACAATGTTTTGGGCAGTCCGGAGAGGAGAGGTCGTTTTTCCTCATTTCTTAGTAAGTCTGCTGCATACAGTTCCCTCCTCCTACAGGAGCTCCAGATCAAAGATTCTGCCTCTTAACCTATGTGCTGTGACAGACACAGTGACTGTGAGGCTTCTTCAGCTGCATCAGAATTCAAAGAGGCACTGTGGCAATGAGAAGTTGTTTATTTCCCGAGTGTGTTCCTGCTGTGATTTAACACTGAGGACTTTGGATCAAAAAACCTGGATTTGAATTGGCCCCTTTCGAGCTGGGTGGTCTTCAGCACCTAAAAAAGTCATTTTTCTTTCTTTGATTCTCTTTTCTCATGTGTTAAATGAGAATGGTAATAGTACCCATTTAAGGGAACTGTCGTGAGATCTATGTGTCTATGAATCTATGTATGTAGGCATGTAGTATGCATCTGTCTCTGTCTGTCTACTTACTTAAAAATTCTCTTTGGTGAGGTAGAACTTCATTTCATTCCAGTATATAAAATGAGATTTTGAGATGGAATATGGGTGGACATAATCACGTTGGAAAGCAATATGTCATTACAAATCAAGACCATTGAAATGTTTATATTCTTTTACTTGAAAATTCAATTTTTTGGCTTGCATTAGAGATGAGATCAGGGGGCTTTGGACTTTGGGTGTGTGGAGTGTTTATGTGGCAACAGTATTCCATAGAGCAAAACATTGATATGTTCAACAATCTAAAGTAAGTTATGATCAGTGAGAACTTTTAAAGCTGTTGTAGTTTCTATGAGTGCCTAACAAATTACTACAATGCCTATATATTTGCTCATATTCTGTTGGTCAGAAGTCTGGAAGATTCTATTGGTGCTATTTCCCCATTTTCAAAGTCTTAGTGTGTATAGGTTTTCTTCTCTGTCTCTTTACCACTCTCTCTGTATGTATATGCAAACACACAGAGATATATACATATATGCATAGTTTTAAAATTATATGAAATATAAAATTTGTTTATATATGAAATTTATATATATATTAATTTTATTTCTCTTACCAGCAAATTGCAAGTCCAAGAAAGAGGTAGTGCTGGTTTGGTCAATGTCTTAGATTAGGGGCCTCAAAAGCAGACACCAAGGCATGTATTTGAGTGTTAGTACTTATTTGAGAGGTAATTAAAAGAAAAATCAGTAGGAGAGTGGGGCAGTGAGACAGAGAGGGAAGAAAACCAGTGAGGTATAGATTTTCAAGAAGTTACTCCTGTGGATAACTCAGCTAGAGACCTTTGTTAGTAGGACACAGGTTTAGAGTTATTCTGCTGTGAGTGGAAGAGAGGAAATTTATATTTATTCACAATATTAGCTATCTGTTGTTACATAACAGTTTACCTCAAACATAGTGCCTAAACAGTTACTGTCCAACAAATATTTATTACAGTTTCAGTGGGTTGGGAGTCAGGAGCAGTTTTGCTGTGTAGTGTTGGATTAGAGTCTTTCTTGAAGTGTTAGTCAAGATGAAATCATCTGAGGATTGATTAGAAATCTCATATGCACTTCTAAGCTTGTTCGCTTACATAGCTATGGTGTGAAGTCTCAGTTCCTGATCACATTCACCTCTTCATATGTGTTTTTATGACATGGTAGTAGCTTTCCTTAGATTCATTAGGGGAGATTGAGAGGCCCAGGGAGAGAGAAAGGAAGGCCATGTTTTATTTTATGATCTAGTCATTTTAAGACATACTGCTGGTCACCTAGACCCACCCTGATATGGTGTGGAAAGGGACTACATGGAAGTGGGCACCAGAAATCCCTGAGATTATGGAATATTTGAGATGGTAGAGATCCTGGAGACATCTTGTGAGTTGGCCGCCACATTTATCAAATCATGCCCATCACTGCTTGAGAGGTTTTCACCATTAATTCTCTAGCACTCAAGGTTACTAATCACAATAGCAAAGGAAGCTCAGCTTTTCCAGAAAGATCCCTCAGGCAGAAGTGCATGTGCTGACAGTTGGAAGTTGGGCCAATGTGGTAAGATATGAAAAATGGCCTGGTTTATGTGGGAGAAATGGACAGCTTCAGTTCATACCTTGCATTCATGCCCAACATTCCATTCACTGTGTCCTGTTATTGAATCCCCAAGGCATTGACTAACCTAAAGGTGTTGTAAAACCCAACACAGGAGATTTAGGACGTGTATGGTCCCTGTTGCTTCAGTTTGTTCCAAGACCATAATTTTTATCCATCATCTCCCTTTTGGATCACCCATTGGAGATTCCACTGCACTTTCATTAAACATTCCTGTTGTTTTGGGTTTCTTGCTCAGTGGCTAGAAACCTAAAGCCTCTAAGTCTTTAGCTACCATGCCCTTGTTATGCCTTGGTTAATATATTTGCTTGTAATCACCAGGAATGGAAACCCCAATATATGCTTCAGTGAATCCTCTGCTTCCTTTCATAATTTTCTCTGCAACTCTATCTCTTATGATCATATAGTAGCAACTATCATTTACGATCATATGGTATTTATTCATGATAATTGTCAATTATCTCTGCCATTATAGTTTTGTCAAATTTGGGAAAATTTCAGCTATTAGTTCTTTGAATGTTTTTTTCCCCCAGTCCTTTCTTCTCTTCCTCTTACTCACCTCCTCTTGTCAGAAATGACGTTTAAGGAGTTGAACTTGGGGAGTACGGGCACAATTAAGGGAATCTATGGAAGATGGAAGGGGGAGTAAACATAAGCAAAATGGCAAAAGTCGTGGTGGGGAAAAAGAGCCAGTACAGGATTTCTTTTTTTTTTTTTTTTAAAAGATTTATTTATTTGTGCATACAAGAGCTGGGGCATAGGCCAGAGGTGCAGGAAGTGAGAAGATTTACCAGAGAGAGAGTGGGGAGCAGAGCAGGCAGACTGACTGATTGAAAATACACTGTTGAGGGGAGCAGCAGGCGAGACAGGAGAGGTCTCCTGCACCATGTGGGTCACTTCCCTGGCCAGCCCGGAGGCCGGGGATCGAACACATGCTGCAGAGGTTGCAGGTAGCTTCACAGTGCTGTGCTTAACCCCTTGCGCCACTAGGGAGGCCCTAGTACAAATCTTCATTGCCATCATGAAGAACAGTACTCCAATCTCTCAGGTCATTCCTAAGCTAGAGCTTTGGCAGTTACTTTGAGGCACTTCTTGAAACCAATGTCTGGGCTCAAATCAGATATATCAGAAATAGCAACTGCAGCAGTAAGTGATTTCCCTGGTCAGTGATGCTCTGTTTACTGGAAGGGGTAATATATTTGTTGGCTTCTTTAAGCATCTTTTAAACCAACACTAAGTGTACATATTCATGGTTGTCTGGAGGAAACATAACTTAAAATAACATCATTTTTTTTTCTGTTTTTTTTTTTTTTTTAAATAGAGGCATGTTTTATTTATTTGTTTATTTGTTTGTTTGTTTTGTTTATACATGCACTGGGTACAGTCAGAAGCGCGGGAGGGTGAGAGAATTCACCAGAGCCAGAGCGGGGAGCAGAGCAAGCAGAAGGACCGAAGTACACAGCTGAGGGGAGCAGCGAGCGGCAGGAGAGGTCTGCGCTCCATGTGGGACCCTCCTCTGGTGGCCGGGGAGCAGCCCGGGATCGAACTGGCGCTGCAGAGGCTGCGGGCAGCTTCGCAACCCAGAGCTCAACCGCTGTGCCACCGGGGAGGCCCAAAAATAACATCATTTATTTATTTTTATTGAGATAACATAGGTTTACAACACTGTATATGATTTAAAGGTGTAGGATTACACCCTTCAGGTGTATGTTACATACCACACACACCAGCCAGGCACTGAAAGTCCTCTGCCATAGTCTACTGTGTCCCCTCCCCATTTTGCTTTTCCCACTATTGCTCCCCTTCTACTGGCTTCAATTCTACAGTTGGATTTCTAGGGTTTGTTTTTGGTTTGTTTTTTTCTGACCCTTTGTCTTATTTCTCTGTACTCCGCATATAACTGACACCATCTGGTACTTGTCTAGGTAAGATAACTGGTGCAAGCTGAAATTTGAGATAGTAACTACTGTTTCCACTTTAGGTTTCAATGTGAAAAATATGCACAAGGAGGAATACATCAGCATCACTGTGTGGGAGGCAAGTGATTAGGACAAGATTTGGCCTCTAGGATTACAGCTTCCAGAACACACTCTCAATGTTTGAAGAAGTCCTGTGAAAAGCTCTTGATGAAGCTGGCAGAAATTGGATTCAGTGATACTGTTCTTTATTAGTGTTTGTCAACAAAAGTATCTTCCCAATGCTGTGAATGCTGTTGAAAATAAGATATGCTGAGACTGCATTTTGTCACAGAAACCGGTTCCTCCAGGTCAGCTACATTGCCAGTGGCTGGGCTCTATTGCAGACCCCGCTACATGTCCAATCAGCTGGAAAACCACAAGTGAACCAGGAAAAGCTGTCTTCCTCCTCACTTCACTTTCCTTCTCTTTTTTTTTATGATTTTTAAAAAAGATTTATTTATTTTTATTTATACAAGAACTGGGGTACAGGCCAGATGCACGGGAGGGTGAGAGGATTCACCAGAGACAGAGTGGGGAACAGAACAGGCAGACTGACGAAATACATTGCCGAGGGGAGCAGCAGGCGAGACAGGAGAGGTCTGCTGTGCCGTATGGGACCCTCCCGACCGGCCAGTATCAAACTGGTGCTGCAGAGGCTACAGACAACTTCACAGCGCTGAACCAACCGCCTGTGCCACTGGGGAGGCCCCACTTTCGTTCTTTCATCTGCTACTTCATTCTCATGTAGTGATCTCCTACTCTGTGATACCAAGTATTAGGAACAATTTTCATATTTTGTTTGGTTACAGTATGTATTGTACCTTTTTAGAAATGTGGCATGTAATGCCTGCAAACAAGCATAAATACCTCTTTAATGGAAAGATTTTTTTGTTAGTGTTGTATTTTCTGGTACTCTATGCAAATTACTCAACTTAAAAAAATTTTAAGTAACTATAGTCACAGATCAGCGTTGGAAAGGGATTTTATGCACGTGGGGGATACTGAGGCTTCCAGAAGTTACATTTTGGAAAATCTGGTTACTCCTCCTGTCAGCTTGTGAGATGGGTGTGAAGAGTTGTTTTTTTTTTTTTTTTAAGATTTATTTTATTTATTTATGCATACAAGAGCTTTGGTGCACGCCAGAGGTGTGGGGAGTGACGGGACCTACCAGAGACAGAGTGGAGAGCAGGACAGGTGGACTGACTGAAATATATTGCTGAGGGGAGCAACAGGTGAGACAAGAGAGGTTTGCTTCGCCATGTGGGTTAGCTCTCTGGCCAGAGATCGAACCCCTGCCAACAGTGGCTGCCAACAACTTGACAGTCTGACAGCCTTTCAGCCTGGCAACACGGAGACTTAACCCCATGCTCCACCAAGGAGGCCCTTGGAGAGCTGTTTTGGTGTTCGGTTTTCAATTTGGACACAGTGTATTATATAAAATTAAATTTGAGGCATAATTTACAAATGATAAAATGTAATTTTTAATTGTATATAGTCCGATGTGTTATGGCAAGCAAAAATACCTGGTTAACTACTATTACAATAAAAATATAGAACAATCCACTCTAAAAGTTTCCCTATGTCCCTCTTTCAATTAGTGTCCATCCTTATATCTTCAAGTCCCAGTGTTAGCCCTTGGAAACCACTGATATATTGTCTTATAAATCTGTCTATGCTACAATTTCATAGAAATGGCATGTACAATATGTACCTGTTCATATTTGGCTTCTTTCAGCATAATGTTTTGTCAGTCATCTATTTTGTTGTGTACACTGGTAGTTTTATAATTTGTACAGGTTTCTCTCACTATCTGAAAGTAGAGCTTTCTTTTGAAACCATTTCTAAACCGAAATGGTGTAACGTGAAGAAACAATTACTGTTAACTTATATGGAAACAATTTTGAACATTCCCCCCTGAAATAACCTACCAAATCATAGCAAATAACACATAAAATCTAGAATAGCACTTAATATATAGTAAGAGCAGGACTGATATGAACAATACACAGCCTGTATAATGTAGTTCCTCTAGAAAGAAGGACAATGCAAACTGTCTCTATGATAGCTGCTGTGAAACAGGTGCTGAATATGAGTTTTGTTGCCCGCCTTTCATTGTAAAAGAGAAAATCCTCTTCAGATTTCTTTCCTTTAGCAAAAATGGGCACTAATATAGGTCTTTTATGAAAACTGGTGTATATGTGTATTTATAAAAGTTTGAGTTTGCAACTCAAACTTTAAAAAGTGGAGGATACTTGTATTGCATTGTATGCACAATGCCACAGTTGTTGATCTGGTCTACGTTGACTTGCTTCTGGTTTTTAACCATTTTGAATAAGCCACAAAGATCATTTGTGTTCATATCTTGTGTGAGCATATATTCTCATTTCTCTTGGACAAAGTTCTTGGAGCAGAACTGTTTGGATATATGTAAGTATGTGTTGAATTTATGAGACATGGCTGACTATCTTTTATAGTGAGAGTACTGTTTAATATTCCCATGAGTAATCTTTATATAATTTACTGTTGTTAGATGAAGTATTTTGCGTATATCTATTAGGCCAAACTGGTTGTTAGTGTTTTTTTTTTGCTTTTTTTTTTTAATATGCTTAACTATTTTATTTATTTATTTATACAAGCACTGGGTACAGTCAGAAGCACGGGAGGGTGAGAGAGAATTCACCAGAGCCAGAGCGGGGAGCAGAGCAGGCAGAGTGAAGAAGTACACTGCTGAGGGGAGCAGTGGGCAGCAGAAGAGGTCTGCGCGCCATGCGGGACCCTCTCCTGGTGGCCGGGGAGCAGCCGGGGATCGAACCGGCGCCGCGAAGGCTTCGGGCAGCTTCGCAACCCAGAGCTCAACCGCTGCTCCACCGGGGAGGCCCTGGTTGTTAGTTTTTAAGCTACTATAACCTTCCTGATTTTCTGTTTAACTATCTACCAATTGCTAAGAGCTAGGTGGTAAAAGTAACAACAATAACTGTTGATTTGTTTTTTCTCCTGTAGTTCTATCAGTTCTTGCTTCAACTACTTTCTTTTGGGAAATTTTGTTTCTCTTGGGAAGAAAGAGGAAGGTAGGCCTTAGCATCTTGCTGAGGTTGCCAGGAGCACTCACTGCCACCTGGAGATTCACAAGCTGAGTGGAGGTCAGGGGGGCCTTGAACTTGGCTCTGGTGCTGGGGTGATCCATGTACGCTGAAGCAGTTCAAGCAACTGGGGTGAGGACCTCGTGAATCAACAGTTAGTCCAGCAGTTTGTAGCTGTGAAGGAGACCTGCTTGCCCATGATGAAAGCCTGACTTTACCTGGTTCTTTGTCCAGGTGCTGCCTTCACATACTTGCTGCCTGCCTCTTTATTGGTGCACATGAGACTGACATACTTGCAATAGAGGTCTTCTACCCTGTCATCCATTACTCCACCCACGGCTGCCTCCTGCTGTTTTTTCTGAGACAGCCAGAGGGAGTGGCCCAGATGTTACAGGATGGCATTGGATTAGCCCAGGTGAGGTTTCCCTCCTGGAACTTGGGGAGTTGACAGTATAGACAAGATTAAGCCTATTGGTCACCACCTCCTCCTTTCAGCTCTGGCCTGGTCAACCAGCAGCAAGAGCTCAGCCTCACACTTCCCTGGAACAGTGAAACAGACCACGGTACAAAGTGGCATGGTTGTGGGGAAGAGCTTGACTTTGACTCCCTGGCGTATATGTGTATTTATGATAAATTCTCTGATGAACTGACCACATCTTCAGTTCTTCGTTCTTAGCAATATTCTTGTTCTGAAATCTAGTTTTTGATATTAACTAAACAAATCAACTTTAAAAATATTTAATTATTTGGGGCCTTTTAAAGCAGGGGCTTACATTCTCACACCTGTGAGAGTGGCTCACGTAAAAGAAAAAAAAAAATCAACAAACAAACCTAGAAACAAGTGTTGGCTTAGGTACAAAGGAAAAGGAAGCTTTGTATACTGTTGGTGGGAATATAGGCTGGTTAAACCCCTACGGAAAATAACACGGTGGTTCCTCAAAATATTAGAAATGGATATACCATATGCTGTCCAAAGAGTTTATCACTAATTCAAATGGATATATGCACTACTGTGTTCATTGCAGCACTGTTGATAAGAACCAAGGTGTGTAACCAACCCAGGTGCCCAATGAGAGATCAGTGGATAAAGATGATGTGGTATATATCTGTGATGGAATACCACTCAGCTATAAAAAGATGAAATTTTTCTATTTGCAACATCATGGATGGAACTGGAGGGGATTATGCTAAGTGAAATAAGTCAGAAAGACAAATGCTAGATGATTTCACTCATTTGATGAACATTAAAAAACAAAGGAACAGCCAAAACTAAGCCAAAACTAACCCTAGAAATATGATGGCAGAATTGAGGCTACTGGAAAGGGAGCGTGGGCGTGAAGAGCAAAGTGGGGAAGAGCATAGGCCCAAGGGACTGTGGTGAACTGTGGGTGCTTTGGTGGTGGGTATGGTGTGGTAACATACACCTGAAGGAGTGTAAACCGATTCCCCTATGTTACATACAGTGTTGCAAATGAATATTACCTTTATTAAAAAAAATTACAGGAAAAAAATTGCAAATAAATCCTAAATATGTAAATTAAAAAAACAGGGGCTTGTAGTTTGTTGGTAATGATTCAGATACTAATTCTTATGTGTATGTAGGTTTTCCCCATGCTACCAAGCAATTATTGGAAATTGTGTGTCCTGCATTCAACTCAATTCTGTCATTATTTACCCAAAGATAGCATCAGATTCTACACGTGAAAGGCTCAGTCCCACAAGACTGCCCTCCAATTCCAATGCCAATAGCAAATGCAGGTGGTTACCTGTACTTCTGATTGGCTATAAATCATGATTCCCATGAACTCCTTGGGCTTGATTTGTTTGCTAGATGACTCACAGGACTCAGGAAACCAGCTTACATACTAGATTTCAGACTTATTATAAAAGGTTATATAACTCAGAGACAATGACATGGAAGAGATGCACAGGCCATGACTTGGGGGAAGGGTATAGAGCTTCCATACCCTCTGTGAGTGTGCCATGCTCCCCAGAATCCCACCTTTTCACCAACTTGGAAATTCCCTGAACCCCATCCTTTGGGTTTTTATGGCACCTTCATTACATAGGCACAATTAATTGAATCATTGTCAATTGTCAATTGATTCAAACTTCAATCCTTATCCTTTTCCTACCCCCTCAGAGATTAGGTATAGGATTGAAATTTCCAGCCCTCTAATCACAGGATTGACTCTTCTGACAACTAGGCCTCATCTTCAGATGGGACCCAACAGTTACCCCATTTTGCATAACAAATGACACTTTTGATTGTTCTCATCACCAAGAAATTCCAAGGATTTTAGGAGCTAAATACAGAAAAGGGACTGAAGGTCAAATATATTTCTTTTTTTTTTTTTTTAAAGATTTATTTATTTATTTATTTTATTATTTATTTTTTTTAAAATAATAAATTTTATTTTTATATTCCCCCATACAATTGCAAACGCCCCATTCTGACCCCAATTCTTCCCCTCCCGCCCCCCACCCCCCAAAAAGTGTCTCTGGTTCATAGTTTTTTGTTGATTTTGATTTTCACTTTCTTATATTCATTTTCCTGGTCCCTTATTTAAGTTTTCTAGATTCCTGCTATGAGTGAGACCATCCGGTATTTTTCTTTTTCTTTTTGACTTATTTCGCTGAGCATGATCCCTTCCAGCGCCATCCATGTTGCTGCAAATTGCATGTGTTTATCTTTTTTGAATGCTGAGTAATATTCCATGGTATATATGTACCACATCTTCTTGATCCAGTCATCTATTTTTGGGCATTTGGGTTGTTTCCAAAGCTTAGCTATTGTAAACAGTGCTGCTATAAACAGGGGTGCAGGTGTTCTTTGGAATTGATGTTTCTGTGTCCTTTGGGTAAATACCTAGGAGTGGAATTGCTGGATCATATGGAAGCTCTATGTTTAGTAGGTCCAGATTATTTATTTGTTTGTTTGTTTATACATACAAACACTGGGTACAGTCAGAAGCGCGGGAGGGTGAGAGAATTCACCAGAGCCAGA